TTTGGAAGGGCTGTATGATCAAACTGTTGCTACTGTTACCACTACTATTGTTGTTTCCTTGTGGCCATCTAGTTTTCCAAAACACCATAATACTCAGACTACTGAGAATACTATGAGTATTCTCTTATGAGTAATCAAAATACTCAGGCTTTAATAACGTCAAGCTGTAACAGAGGTCATTCTTTACATGCATTTTTTTTTTTTTTAAATTCAATTGCAATTCGAATGTGGAGGCCATGCCACCAAACACTGACAATCCTTTTTTTTTTTCCCTCCACAGATTACTGTAGTAATGTGTTAGGAGTCTGTGAACATACAGACTGGTTCCTATTGGACTTTTTACAAGAATTTTAAAAGAAAAGTCAAGTCAAAAGTTTGAAACCTTTTGCAGTGACTTCAGGTCTTTTCACTTGCCCTGTGTGTCACTATAGTTGGGGGAATCTACACAGTCATCCAGACCAAGGCTAAGATCACTGTGGATGAATGGGGAGACAACTACTACATGATGGGGCCGTACTTCGAGCACAACTTCAAGACTCAAGTGGAGAGCTGTGAGCCACCAAATCCTGCCATCAGGAAGGCCATGGATGCCCTCATCCACAACGGCTGCCAGGTGAGGGATGGGAGAGGAAAAAGATTATCTGTGTACCAGTTGACACACCAAAACCTACTGAGTTGACAGGCATACAATTTGCTTAACCATAAAGGGGGACTAATGGGTCTGGGGGTTCTCACCCATGAAATTAGTTATTCATCATTTCACAATGATGAATATCACTGTCATACAGTTTGGGCTGCCCTGGATGTACGCTGTGTATGATGGGAATGATGTGATTGCATTGTGATTGCTGGATGAGGATGGTCTCTGAGTGGTATTTACGCAGGAGGCTCAGATGCCAAATGCGTGTTTGACCACTAGAGGGTGCACATATGCTGATGAGGCAGTTGCAGATCATACTGTCAGAATGCATTTCTTAAGGAAATAACAATTAGCATGACTTTAGTAAAAAGCTACACTAAAGCTGCGAGGCTCCTTGGAGATGTTTAAAATGTTATATTGTCTAACTTTAAGAGCAGATAGAAAATGTGTTTGTAAGAACACAACTTGGCTGTATATTGCTGTCATGCAAAAAACAACACAATATAGTGATCACTTTATACTTCAAATGCATGCATCCAAAATTTCTCTTAGCAAAGTGGCTATAACCAGAATCTTCATACCGCCTGCGCCCCAAGTAGGGTTAGGGTTAGGCTAACCTCAGGCTAAAACTGTTGCCACGAAACTGAATGCATATCCTGGGATAGAAGCACAGAGGCCCTTAAATCTGAAAGTGTCCCTAATAAAACTGAACTTGTTCTTAATGCAGGTTCATTTTGGTCGCTGGCTGATTGAGGGCAGCCCCTATGTAATCCTGTTTGACATAGGCTCAGCAGCCTGGAACCTGGACCGCTGGAAAGGGGACCTTTGGGACACCTGCAACATTGGTCTGCCCTACCATGACCGAGAAGCCAATGACTCGCTCATTTTGGGCTCCCTTATTGCATGGTTCTTCAAAGAGGTGCATTATAAGTGAACCTAATTGTCTTGTTAGCTCCTATGCTGAGTTTTGGATTTATAAAAATAAATAAAAAATCTCAATATGCATCACTGAGATGCATATTGAGATATTAAACTATTGTCACACCTTATTAACTGCATCCAGAGGGAGATGGTGGTTTATAAAAGATTCGATTATAGCCAATCTGCAACACATGCATTTCAGAGTTAGCATAAGTAAACACGGCAGCTTTCTTTTGTGTTTTTAGTTGACAGACCACCTTGGAGACAAACCTAATGTCATCAGTCACTTCCATGAATGGCAGGCAGGTCCTGGACTTATTCTCTCTCGCTCACGCAAAATTCCCATGGCGACAGTATTCACAACACATGCCACCCTGCTGGGAAGATACCTTTGTGCTGGGAACACTGACTTTTACAACAACCTGGACAAGGTGAGAGAAGAAGAGAACTGCCTTACAGCAAACAGACACATAGTAACACTGTTTGTAGTTGGCCTGTAACTGTCATGGACACCAAGCCATTCACTTCTTATGACTCTAGTTAATAATACAGGCAGGAAAATTTGTCAATGTTTTATTGTGAATCAGAGCTTGATCTTTACAGCTGATATGTTGCCTACAATGTGCATATTAGATTCATTAGAAATCTATCTCAGATAGTTGACTTGGGTAATACTTAAATCCTTTTGACTCTAATAGAAGGGGAAAAAACATCAGTGTTTGTAAACATAGGGGCACTACAGTAGGCATGTTATTTATATTATCAAATCACAATAGCAATCCCTTTTTATATTTCATATTGTAGGGCCTTTACACTACAATATGAAATGCAAAAAGTGAGTGAAGAAGAGAAGCCCACAGCATGCTGAGGCCTATTGCAGTGTACCTATGAAAACAGAACAAAAAGCAAAGTTCTTAAGAGAGTCTGTCTCCTGACGCCCCACGTCCATCACAAAATATGTGTGCAACTCACACTCGTGCCTCTCTGCCTGCAATGACCAGCCATAAGATTTATGCTCATATTTAAAGGTTTAGCTCTTTTAGGACTACTTAGAGCATCATTAGTAATGTTGAGCTACATTTGGAGATGTCAATGCAATGTTTGTAATTGGCCACACAAGCTAAAGGTCAATGTGGAGCTAAAGGTTACTCCTTGACCGAATGGATAATTGACAGATGATTCTTAGGACCATCACTTATTCTGTCGATGGAATCTTGTTAACTGAGAGTCAGAAAATGCAGCAAATATGGTAAAACAAAGCAGGATCATTTCCAGACTTACAAACTGTAAATGAACTTTAAAAGAGTTTTTTTTTTTATTCATTTAATTGAAAAATTAAATTTTATTATGCTCTTGTTTATGTTCACAACTATGCCTGAAATTGATAATTATACATACTGTTATTACCAAAACTTTTGTGGTCCCAAGAGGGTAGTCGAGATCTTGCTTTGTAGGATTAATGAGGATGCGGTGAACTAAACTGGTGCAGTCTCATCCTCATTTTTTTCAGTATGTTTCATGACAAACGCTCATACTCGGACACTCGTGTCCTCTCTTGCTCATTTAAACATGTATGCACGCTCGCATCCACACACGGCATAACTCTATATTTGTTTGTGTACCTCCCTCTGTTTTGTCTTTTAGGTGTTGTATCGTTAGTGTACTTTGTTACAGAGGAAGCATGTCTGTTTGCATCTATCTCACCCTCATTCTTTTCTCCCTCTTTTTTTGTCCCTTCTATTCTTCCACTTCTCCTGTCTTTTGCCACTCTAGTCTTCACCCTCTGTCCACCCCAGCATTATATCCACAAACGATAATATGAATAATATTTTCTGTTTTTAAATAATTGCAACAAAACATTCCCATGAGGAAAGTAGACCCTCTGTAGGCTCGTCTTGTTAAAGCAAATATATTTGGTAAAAAAAAGGCATTCAGAAAAATATTCTGCTGCTCTGGGCAGGTTTTAAAAAAGCTTGATAATTAAACATGTTTTGTCCCCTGAAGTAAAATGAATGTTTTTGGTTTTTTCTGTTTTTTAAAATTGTGTGTGGCAGTTTAACATTGACAAGGAGGCTGGTGAGAGGCAGATCTACCACCGATACTGCTTAGAGAGAGCAGCAGTTCACTGTGCTCACGTCTTCACGACAGTCTCTCAGATCACTGCTGTGGAGGCCAACCACATGCTGCACAGGAAACCAGGTGGAAATTTTTCACTATACTATCTCCACAAGAACGTGGTTTTACGTCGTCTATTGGTTTTCTGACGATCCATGCAACACAGTCATGCAAGAAATGTTTTTACAAATCGCACTACAGTCCTGTAGATAAATACATATCACGATTGACTCATTTGTAGCGATAACTAGCAACAGTAACTTGAAGTAATCAGTTTCTGTATGATCACACAGTCACACAATTTGCTCCAAGTGAAAAATTGGATAATCCATCACATCTGTTTCTAAAATACCTGGAGATACAACTGCAAGGTTCCTAGGACTTGACTATAAAACAAGCCCTTCATCACCATACTGGTATAAGATGGGAGGGGGGGCTCTGAACTTGGAACACAACTGTATTCCAGGGATTGATGGCAAAAATACCTTCCAGTTTGAAATAAAATTTTGAAGCTAAATACAAAATAATTTCTATACCGCTGTCAACAGAAAATGAATAAAACCATCTTTTCCTATGTTGGTACAGATGTGGTCACCCCAAATGGGCTGAATGTGAAGAAGTTCTCAGCCATGCACGAGTTTCAAAACCTGCACTCCACCAACAAGGCCCAAATCCAGGAGTTTATCAGGGGACACTTCTATGGGTTTGTTGCTTTATTAAAAAGTAGTTCTGGCATCTCTCGAAGTTTGTTGTACTTCATAAAATGAATCGACAATTTCATTTTATTAATCTTTATTATCTCGGTAGTCACCTGGACTTCAACTTGGATAAAACCCTCATCTTCTTCATTGCTGGGCGCTATGAGTTCTCAAACAAGGGAGCAGATATTTTCATTGAATCGCTGTCCAGACTGAACTACCTGCTGCGGGTGAGGCCGTGTTTGTTTTGTGCCTTTTTGGTAGTGTTGTGTTGTACACATCAAATGGAAAATCATCCTCACCGTCTCTGCAGGTCCACCGAAACGATGTGACGGTCGTAGTTTTCTTCATCATGCCAGCGAAAACTAACAACTTCAATGTGGAGTCACTGAAGGGGCAGGCAGTACGTAAACAGCTTTGGTACGTCCTGCTTTGCTGATTACTTGTAGCAATTAAATAATTCTGTACAGTACATCCATTTTTTTTCGTTATATACTCTAAATGTGATGAACAATACCCGGGGGCGGGGGAGATCTGGAAATCTGTTGGGATTTTTCTCCCTCACTGATCACTTGAGGAGCTGCAGTTTTTGGCAAAATTGTAAATCCCAGAGGTTGTAGTGCATCTGCCCACCAATTTAAAAGAAGGCTATAAACAACGGCACATGGATGAAATGTGAAATGGAGCCTGGGAATTGCAGGGCCTTCTAAGTTGTCTCTGCCATGTTGTTGTTGCCACGCAAAAGCAGAGGCTGTATGCCAACAGGTAATAAGGACGAAAGTGCACTAATGAATGAGACAAAGGAGTGTTAGGAGAAATTATTTTTAGGCGCTACTGATGCTCAAGTTCCCTGAACTTTTCGTGTAGCTGTTCGCCACCTGCACAACATTTATTGCTTCAAGCTTGGGCTTATCGACCTTTCTGGGCAGCCACGACACATCAGACAAATCCAATCTTCACTCGTAAATAGCAGACAGTTTGAGACAGCGTGGTATTGATCTGATTTGAAACACAAACCTGATTTAACTGCAGCCTGAACAAAGTGTTTACCTCCAGTAGGAAGCTGTACTGAAAGACGCGTCATTATCCAACATTGATTTAAAAAATGTGTACTTCCTCATGAGTGGTTGCTAAGGTGGGCATGGTTCAGCAAAAATGCAACTTAGGAACTTTGCTCCTTCCCTGCTTTAACTCTTAAACTCTAAATAATAATGATTTTCTGTTACTGTTGGTGCTTCAAACTAAGTAACAACTGCAGTGGTGATAGATTTCCTTTGCTTTTAACAGGGATACAGCTCATGCTGTTAAGGAGAAATTTGGTAAAAAGCTGTATGATGCTCTGTTAAAGTAAGTATTTCTACTTGCTGAGGTATTTGATGTTGATATCAAAGTGTTGTGTAAATTTGCAGATCAATGATGATGTATGTATGTCTTCTTTCATTAGAGGGCAGAGCCCTGATCTCAACAACATTTTGGACCGAGATGACTTCACCATTATGAAGAGAGCCATCTACGCCACACAGGTGTGTGTGTGTGTGTGAGAGTGTGTGTGAGAAACCTAATCTTTAATTCTACTTCCCCACCTTTCAAGTAACTGACTACCATTAGTCCTTATTGATGATAATGACCTAGAAAGATTAATATCAGTAAATTGTACCAGTGTATTGTTTCCCAAGACAAACTGTGTTCAGCTGAAATCTTTACACCTAAGGTGACACTCTTGATAAGAAAATGTTAATATCTTTAAAATGTGGAAATTGGGATGTTTTCAACCAGCCAGAAACTACCTTTTTACTACATAAAGGGCCATGTTTATGGTTGTGCCACTATTACATTTAGGCACATATAAATTTCAGGATAACTTATTTCAACAACATTAAAGATATAACTTTCATTTTGACTCAAATGTTAAAGCTATGCTGGAATATTTTATTTTGAATTTCATATAACTTCTTCTTGCTCTGTTCATATAATTTGTGGGTCCTTTTGTAGTCTGCTGTTAACAGTATGGATAACATCGCAGGCTGTCGCAGTATTAGCAGAGAGTGCGGCACATGCAGTTATTCAATCTTCAATTGAAGTTCATACAGCACCAAATCACAATAACAGTCGCTTTAAGGTAGACCCTACAATAATACATGCAGAGTAAAACCCAACAATCATATGACCCAACAATCATATGACCCCCCCTATGAGCGAGCACTCTGGCGACAGTGGGAAGGAAAAACTCCCTTTTAACAGGAAGAAACCTTTGGCAGAACCAGGCTCAGGGAGGGGCGGGTTCATCTGCTGCAACTGGTTGGGGTGAGAGAAGGAAGACATGTTATACACTCCCACAGTAGATAATACGGCCTCATTCTACTAGCTTACCAGCTCAATGTCCTTACTGCAGAGTGTTTTTTTGATAGTTAGATGGTGTAACTCTGGACACTTATCATCACTTATCACAAACACAGCCAGACCCCCCCCATCTTATTTCTGCTCTCCTTGGTTCTGTCAGCCTGGATTAGATGCAGATAAACATGGACTGTCTTACTTTTTGGTGTTAGTGTGGTTAATTGGACGGATAAGATGCCCACTGATGCCAGGGCCACCAATTCATCCACGTTACTGTGAAGAAATCTCACATTCCACATGATGATGGGTCTGTATCTTCTCCTCTGGTTTCGATGCTTGATACCAGATTCCTCCTAAGATCTTAGGGCAGCTCTGGAATGGAACAGAGTCCAGCTCCTGCCAAGGATGGTTCCAGATCCTGACTATATCTATTTGATATCTCTCAACCTCTCACAAGCTCAGGCTTCAATTCCACCAGAGACGTGATGTTCCATTTCTTAATAGCCAGCCCTGGTATCTGGAGACTGGACCACTGCCCTCCTGTAGGGCCTTTGCCTTTGAACATCGCCTGTCACACAATGTACCCAATGCCTATAGCACCTTCTAACCCTAACCTGCAGGTGGTGGATCTACTGGAGGGAAGCCAGTGTAGCTTCTTTGGGCTGCATCTGACTGGACCACTTTTTAAAATCACTCAGGGGTCAATTGAATTCCTCACTTTTATGTTTATCTATCCTAATCACATACTTTAACTTCTTGGCTTGCAGAGGCACAGCCTCCCTCCAGTAACCACTCACAACATGCTGGACGACTCAGCAGATCCCATCCTGTCCAACATCAGACGTGTTGGCCTCTTCAACTCCAGGAACGACCGTGTCAAGGTAAACAAAACATTATGTCAGGTGTGATAAGATCTCTCTCGATCTCTCTCTATTGATGAAGATAGATATATATTTTAAAAATTAATAAAATGTGGAGAGATCTACTGTGACTACACAGTTGGTCTTTAATCTATTGACTTGTAGTTATTAAAAGCAAACAAACAAAAAAAAACTGGCTTAACTTTGATGTTTTAATTTTTGCTATGCTGCCAAATAAGGACATGGGCAACCCTTATCTGTGTGTCACCCTCTCAGGTTGTTTTCCACCCAGAGTTCCTGTCCTCGACTAGTCCTCTGCTGCCAATGGACTACGAGGATTTTGTCCGTGGTTGTAACCTTGGAGTGTTCCCTTCCTACTATGAACCATGGGGCTACACACCTGGTAGACTGACCATCCTCATGTTGTAGCCAGGCATACATGTTTCTACACAAATGCTTTATACTTCCCCTGTGCATATTGTTTAGGGCTTCTGTCTTCTGTTCTCCAGGTGAGTGTACTGTAATGGGCATTCCTAGTGTGACCACCAATTTGTCAGGTTTTGGTTGCTTCATGGAGGAGCACGTCTCGGACCCTGCTGCATATGGTGCGTGAGTGCATTCACACTCATGGGCGCACAAACACTGAATTATGTGTGTTCATCCTTATGGATTATGTTTTCTCTCCCACCTCCTCCTCTCTGTCAGGTATCTATATAGTGGACCGACGCTTCCGTTCTGCTGAGGAGTCCTGCAACCAGCTAACTCAGTTCATGTTCAGTTTCTGCCAGCAGTCTCGGCGGCAGCGTATCGTCCAGCGCAACCGAACTGAGAGGCTGTCTGACCTTCTGGACTGGAGATACCTCGGACGGGTCGGTTTCTGATTCTGAAGCCCTGAATAGTTATTTGGTTCAAGTCAGAACAGGACACGATCAGAGAAAACGGGAGTCTACTACTGAACTATATTCTGGTTCAACCAACAGATAATCGGATTTTATTACTGCTTTTGCGGTTTACCAGATACAGGTATACAACAGTGAACCGCAAGCCGCCAACTTTGGTTGTGCTAGGCTATTCCACTTACACAAGTCAAATATAGGGCTACCATGCTGTGGTTTCTGTGAACTGTGGTACAATGATTTTCCATTCTTCTTTTATACTGTGCCATGTATTGATCTCCTATATAGTTCACCCTCTCCTTTAACAGGATAACTTGGCATACAAGATTTCATAATTGGTCCACAGTGTTGGGAAGGTTACTTTTAAAATGTATTCCATTACAGAATACATGCCCCAAAATGTATTCTGTAATGTATTCCGTTACGTTACTCAATGGGAGTAACGTATTCTGAATACTTTGGATTACTTAA